GCAAGTAAGTCTGTCATGAATTTAGGGACAACAGTGGAGGAGTAAGTGATCTCCACCAGGGACAAGTAGCTAAGGAAGAAGTACATGGGGGAACGCAGACTCTTACTGACATTGACTGTCAGAACAATGAGACCATTGCCCACCACTGTCGCCAGGTACACAGGAAGAAACATCACAAAGCATGCCCTCTGCACTTCTGGATCCTGGAAAAGACCGACGATAATTAACTCGGTCACGTTATTTGTACTCGCCATGGAATCTAATCAGGTGTTCTGGGCACAGGTAATGAGAGACCTGTAATAAAACAGACACTGATTGCAATCAGTTCACCTCATTTATAGCACGTTAGACAGTATAAACCACTTTGCCCATTCATTTAGCCCATATGTACTTATTCAGCATTAAATATAGGCAATCTAATGACAGCTCATATATTAGAAAATTATGGCTCAGGGAGATGGTTATTTACCCACGATCACACAGAAAGCGGTGAATTCTGGGCCTCAGAGCCAGGCTTTCAGACTTCAGCCAGTATTCTTTCTAGTTCGCTACAAGAGATTCTGAATTTGGGGAGCCATTCAACTTCATAGCCTTTATTATCTTCATTGCATTCGAATAGCTCTCTTCTGTTGGGGAATCCTCATGAGACACTTCTACTCCTGAATTCCTTGTTTCCTTAATTTCTGCCTTGAGAAACATCTTCCCACAGATAATTCTTCCCTTTCCAGAAGGTCCTGAGTATACTGTCCTTCATTCAGAGGTCAGAATCTTCTGCCAGTCTTCAGCTTCGATGACTGTTTGTATGACAAATGCTCAAATCCTGGACAGAATTCAACTTACTAGTTTGTCTCCATCATTTCATAGGACTTTCACATCTATTTCCCCACTGCTCAAACTACTGAGATATCCTGAATTCAAAGAGATTGCCCTCTAAGAGCATTGTTATGGCTAGCCAGGCTGCCTGCTCTGGCTCCGTGTTGATAGTTAGCAGCAAAGTGTACAAGAGTTAAGATATCTCCATGAGCTACTCCCCTGGCACAGATAATTACGGAGCACCTCTAATATATGTATAAACACACTAGACTATACAGAATAAATACAGATCTGATATTCGCCTCGAGCTAACAATGTCATGTGATTTAAAATAGTCTCTAGATTAAGGTGCCATGTTAGGAATTTTTTCCACCACATACGACCCATGAAAAACATGGATGAAAAATCATGATACCTTGATTCTCTGTTCTAAATTTAATCTCCACTATTTTCCCCCATAACCCTGATTTCATACTGAAATTTTTAAGAAATATACTTAAGAACTAAAAACACACCTGGACATCAAGTACCAGAATCCACAGAGAAAACAAAAGTCAGTGATATGGACAGATCAGAACACAGTACTGTGTGCCAGAATTCCTCATATAAGCACACATGTTGAAGTTTAAAACTAAATAAAAATCATTGAACCTTAAAATAATAAAGTAATCCATGTTCTAGAGCAATAAAAATTGTAGGCTTAATAACCCAACATGAAAATGAACTTCTCTAAGAAATATACCTGTATCGCAATAGAAAATGGGCAAAAGAGAGAGATTCACAAAAGAATAAGTAAAAATATCAGTATACATATGGAAAGATTTTAAGACTCACTAATAATCAAATGCTCATAAAACCATCCAAGATGCCCAGGCTATAGCTCTGAGATCATATTTGACCCATGTCTTCCCTCATGCCCACACCAGTCATCATCACACCCCTTTCATTTCTCATTAAACCATCCCCCTGTGTGCCCTTTCTCTCCATTCTTCCCGCCACCCCTTCTCACACACTGTCAGCAGATGCCCAGATTACCAATACCTCTTCATCTCCAGATGCTCTTGCCATCCATCCCACACACTGCAGCCAGAAAATTGTCTCCTAGATCTTTCTTTCCTCGGATCCTCCCCTGCGTGGGAATAGCTGGAGGAAAACCTGAACTCCTACGATTCACTTTTAAAGATTTTCACACACTGAGCCACCTCAGCAATCATCCTCTTACCCCCTAAACTTCAACTCGCCTCTTTCAGGTTCTCTCCCTGTCCCATAGCCCACCCTGCTTATTCTCGCAACAGAGCCTCCTTTTCCAGATATGCCCTCTCAACACTACCCACCTTCCAACTCAGTCCCGGTCTGGTGTGTTGAACAAAGCTTGCATTTAATACTCCAACCCATCTGCACCTTCTTTTCCCTGAGCGTTGAAAAATACTTTCGTGATTATCCTTCAGTGTAAATCTGGTCATGTTACTTCTCTACCCAAAATCTACCAATATCTCCCTATTGCCCACAGCCTAAATTATAACATTCTTAGCATAAAGTCCAGGTCCTGCTTGAACTGGCCATTGCCTATTTTTGCACCCATGTCATTCCCAAATGACTGTTACACACCTATTTCCTATTCCAAGGTGCCTTTCTCCCTTCTCTGTGTTTAGTGTTCCTTCTTTCTAATTGCACAAAGACTATCACTCCACCAGGAATAATATATTCTCTCCTTTGTGCTCCTATGGTTTGTTATCATACTTCTTTTATAGAAATTAACAGGTTGCTTTGTAATTATAGCTTTGGGGACTGTATCTTCTACTAAGAAATATACCATCATAATAATCAAATATATCTGTTTAATATTCTTAAATCTTTATTAACTGCATTTTTCATTAATAATGATGTCGAGCTCTACAATAGTACTTGTGCCATATACTTTACAAATGTTCTAGATACATTATGGATTTGACTCTCACAATAAACCCATGATTTGGGGGTTACTATCACCCCCTTTTATACATAGGAGAAAACAGAATCAAAGAGAAATGAATTACCTGGCCAGAAGCTCCACAGTGGTGGAGTCAGGATTCCAATCCAAGTAGCCTCACCATAGATCCAGAGCTCTACAATCACTGCCCTATACAATTTCTAAGTACATAACACAGAAGTGAAGAGTTAAAATTAAATATGTTCTAAACGGAGGGTTGATGGGAGGTGGGAGGGAGGGGAGTTTGGGTGATGGGTATTGAGGAGGGCACCTTTTGGGATGAGCACTGGGTGTTGTATGGAAACCAATTTGACAATAAACTTCATATATTGAAAAAAAATTTAAAAATTTAAAAATTTAAAAATTAAAAAAATTAA